TAATGACTAGAATGTTCATATAAGTCGTTTCTACGTTCATAAATGGTCATTTGGTTGAGTTTTGTGTTTGACATGCTTGAAGAACTAAGAATCACAAACCATGATTTTGATGTTAAAACTATGACTTAATGATGCCAAAATGATCTATGAACCTTGGTGAACACTTTCATATACTTTAATTGAAGTTTGGTGAATAAAAATGACATTTCCGTAAGTTAACTCGAGGTAAAAGACGATGAATAATCGATTATTAACTTGAAAATCGATTATTTATCGTTCTCCAGATCTTTGAACACAACACAGCAACTGTCGATTGTCAGAATGTGACAATTGACTGTCAGGTCTCTCCGAAGTTGAATTGGGAGCTGATAATCGACTATCAAATGTGATAATCGACTATCAGCCTATTCTGAACATCAGATAGTAGATTATCAAAAGTGATAATAGACTATCTCCCAGCCCGGTCGAAGAAAATGAAGCCAGTTGTAATACCCCGTATCAAGATGGGAATGGGAAAAGCTCAAAAAGGATTGATAGTACTACTCATACCAACAAGGTGCATCTTCTTTTCGAGAGCTCATCACCTAGAAACTCCAGAGTTAAGCGTGCTTGACCTGGAGCAATTCTAGGATGGGTGACCCCCTGGAAACTTTCCTTGGGCGCGCACGAGTGAGGACAAAGTGCACGGGAAAGACTTGTGTTGGTTTGTGGGGCCAGTCTACAATTCTATGAGCAATCCTATGAGCAGACACTTACGGCTAGGGTGGGGGCCGGGGTGTTACAAATGGTATCAGAGCAACCCTGCGACCGTGACGGGCCAGAAGAGCTTAGTTCACCTAGCAGGGAAGATCTATGGGTTCAAAAAAAAGGATGCAACGAGGACGTTGCATTCTTAAGTGGGGGTGAATGTAATACCCCGTATCAAGATGGGAATGGGAAAAGCTCAAAAAGGATTGATAGTAATACTCATACCAACAAGGTGCATCTTCTTTTCGAGAGCTCATCACCTAGAAACTCCAGAGTTAAGCGTGCTTGACCTGGAGCAATTCTAGGATGGGTGACCCCCTGGGAACTTTCTTTGGGCGCGCACGAGTGAGGACAAAGTGCTCGGGAAAGACTAGTGTTGGTTTGTGCGGCCAGTCTACAATCCTATGAGCAGACACTTACGGCTAGGGTGGGGGCCGGGGTGTTACACCAGTAGCTAATAAATCATATATTAATCAATTATTCTATAGAAAATATGATTTTTGAACTATGGAATCCTATTTTTGATACCAATTAATTATGAACAATATAAATATAATTTTGTACAATGAAAATGATGTTTTGGCATATAAAACATTATGTGATGTATGACGGTATGTTCAGGTGTTAACACTCGAAACTAGGCTGATGTTTGTTATTAAATGTTATGTTAAATGATTAAACCATGATTATAAATGAATATAATGCTGATCATGAAAATGGTGTATATTGTTAAGAATATCTAGAAGAACTCTAAGATATATCCACTTGTATATTGATGATGATTATTAAGGATATCTAGAAGAACTCTAAGATATATCCACTTGTATAATGATGATGATTATTAAGGATATCTAGAAGAACTCTAAGATACACCTCCTTGACCAATTCATATTTCTGGTTAAAACGTACGTACGGGATCCAGAACGGATATCACCCACCCGACAGTTCACTGTTCGGTTTGGTACGTAATCCACAAGACTCATAGGGTGGATTATCGATTCCTGTGTTCTGCCTTAACCTATTTAAAGTTTAAGAGCCTAATTAGAAATATTGCCTTAGACTAGGAATAACTAAGAGCTTGTTATGAAATGATTTGACCTTAGATTAAGGATAACTTAAGAGCACTTTTGGGATATTCAATATTGTATATGTCATGAAATGACTTGAAATAAATATTGACAATATGATGAATGTTGGAATTATATATTGTGTGCATGATATAAAATTGTTGGTTATGAATTGAGATTCAATTTTTGTGAATGTTCGATACTTTAGATATGCTTACTCCGCTTCACCGCTGAGCATGTAGTGTATTTTATTTGCTACACGCAGGTAGACATAATGAATGATTGGCATATTCCTGGTAGCGGAAGAGGCGAGACAGTCATGGTGGATTTATTGACAAAATAAATAATTATGTTTTTTATGATACATGTTTAAAAGTCGCTTCCGCATTATTATTAAACACTCCGTAATTTCTACAGTTATGTATGGAATTTTATTTATGACTTATGATGAATGAAGTTATTTGAAATGTTTAGAATTATACGATTACCAAGTTAGGACTTTAATCCGAAAGGGGCTGCAGACCTGGACGGATTAGGGTGTTACAATATAAATAAATAAATATATATATATATATATATATATATATGTACATACATACATACATACATACATACATACATACATACATACATACATACATACATACATACATACATACATACATACATACATACATACATACATACATACATATATATATCGGTTCACGTGAGAATGCACCTTGATGAAAGAAATAAGAATAGAGTCTTTGGATCTGATATATCGTGCGGCTCAGATTGTATGCTGCGCTCAGATTTTGAGATAGTGCATTATCAAAGGATTCTGGTACATTTCGACGTGATGCATTTTCAAACCATTTTGGTGCACCTATTTTTGATGTAATCCTGACCATTAGATCTCACAATCTAAAACACCATATTCATTCTTATTTCTTTATAAGATTGCATTCTCACTATATATATATATGTGTGTGTGTGTGTGTGTGTGTGTGTCTATATATATAACAATTATAAACCATTTAAATTTTATATATCTTTTTTTAATAATAAAATATTTATCACATTTAAATATGTATTACAATGTTGAAAATAAAAAAAATATATTATTATTTAAGTTAGAAAGTGAATGTTTTATAAAGTATATTCGGGTCAAACTCCATTCACTTTCTCAATCTATTTTTATTACTAATTTGATCAAATAATAAAGTCATGTCATATCTTGTTTTGTAGAACTTTTGATGTACTCTTAATTTTTAAATATGAAAATTTTATGTTTTAATTACACCCCAATGCTCTAATAAATTATATTGAAAATAATTTTAGTAAAACATAGTAATTCGAAACATGCAATTTATTTTGTGTTGTTGGAAAATAATAAATATAATAATTATTTAATATAGAGTTTAAAATGTGTACATGACATGTCACGTGACCGGTTAGACACACGTGGCATGACACATCGTCACCAAATTTAATCGACTCAACAACAACCAGTTGGATATCACGAAAGTAGTGTTTGATATATAAGACGAATCCATCATTAAAAAATCCAAATTAACAGGTTATATGCTTATATTGTAACTACTTTTGTCGTGAAACAATTTTTATATTAATTTTTTAAATATCAAAATAGCGTTTCATTTTCTTTTTTAAACAAATATCTACGTGATTCATGACATTTTTTAATCCTTCCGTTGTAATTTAAGTTATTTGTTTACTATATTCAAATAGTTAAATTTTAACCATTTTTATTACCTATTTTAATACTCATTTGATAAAATAGTATAATCATATCATCTTTTATTTAATAGAATGGTTATAGTGCATGGTTGGAGCATTTTCTCATCATGGGAGATAGAAAAGTTTGTAAGAGCGATGGCCCATTATTATCTAGGTAATTTACCTAAATAGAACTAAAACATAATTACTTTCTCAATATAGGACCATATGTTTTTATTTCCCAATGTAGGACCATTGGTCATTTTCTAATAGTTATTATTCAACTAAATGTCGAGAATCACTTGGATAATATTTTTCTTATTAGTCATTATTAAGTCCTATTTAGGAAATAAATTAAAAAAAGTTAACAACAATAACAACCAAGTTGAATTCTATAAAAGCAGGGTTTGGCGAGGGCGTATGCACGCATACCTTACCTCTATTCGAAAGTGATGGGTATATCCTTATACCCGACCCGGATAACCGAAAGGGACAGGTCAAGATATGACCGGTCACTTTTATCAATCACCAAATGAGGTTAACTCTTCAATTGGGACGGGTCAAAAGTTGACCGGTCACTTCCACTAAAAAAGTGACCGGTCACTTCCACTAAAAAAGTGACCGGTCACATTTTGGGCGATAGCCAAAATGTCACCTTATGTAACGAAGGATATTCCGGAAGACCAAAGGGACGGGCTGAGCTCAAGAAATGACCGGGTAACCTTTGAGAAAAAGTGACCGGTCATACCACGTTACTTTGCTAACATTGGTCCAGTCTCTCAGGCACGGTGAACCACGTCAGAGGTCAAGGGGACACCCCGCCGCTCATCCGTCACGAAGCACACAGTGAAAGGGATGTTTGTCATTTTGCAGGGTTGATTGGATTGAGAATATCTATTTTAGTCTTTGATTAAACAATGCTTTTTTGGTTGTATTAGTAGCAAGTCTGTGATTGTACAGTGCTTCCATTATCTACAGTGACCTTCCCACGAGCTTCCTATTTTGCCCATGGATGAACAGGGGAAGGTCACAAATCCTCCTCTATAAATATGATGATATTGGATAGAGGAGGGGATCGAACTTTTTTCTCTCACTAAAGTTCACTCTTGAGATAGAGTAAGAAATATAATTCGGACTGGGGAGATTTACCTGGTCTAGGTTATACTTTGTGTTCTTGTTGTGTGTATTTTACTACGGGTCAAGTGTGTCCAGGTTGAACCCGGTCAACCCACCCATCTATATTTAGACCATCAGAAAGTAAAGAGATTGTTTAAAAGAAAGAGAACTCCCTTTAAAAACTAAAAAAATTATTAAAATAGGAGAATAAAAACTAAAAAAATTATTAAAATAAATGTCTTAATTTTTCTAAAATCAAAATAAGAGTTCACACTGTCATTGCTGACTGCCACACTCATCACATTGTAATATTGGAACTCCCATATTGTGTCTACTATCGTTAACTTGAGACCCTACTGTTGTGTGATTCACCTGGGTTGTTGTTGTTGTATAGGATTGGAGGGAGGGGTACTATTTTAGGGGTCCCATAATTTAAACAGGGGTGATGCTCCCAAGAGTTTCTTGGCATTCAACGGGGGTGTTTATATAGTAGTGCTTCTCCCCCTTCCAATATTCTTCAATTGCAGCCATTGATGCCCTGAATCCGTGAACTAGCTGGCTCGGGAGTTGGGAGATCTGTTGGAGAAGGCGAAGCAGACCACAGTAAGTGTTTTTTTTCTCCCCATTCGTCTTCATCTTGTTAATTCGAGTGCGTTTTTTCCCTAATGGAATGCGTTGCTAAGAAAACCGCCATTGTTAAAAACCCTGTCGGAAATGGAGATTTTAGCCGTCCTCGCGCATTCGCCCGACCCGTTAAAGTAGAAATCGGGTTTCTTTTCTGGAAATATGCGTATTCGGCGGAAGTCGTTATTATTATTATTATTATTTCAAAAAACTCCCTTTTCAGTTTGGTCCTGGATTTAGGGTTTATTTTATTGGTGCGATTAGGAATCGAAGGGAGATGGTGGAAGAGAGGAATGGGAGCAAGCTGCCGTCACAGTGGTGGTGGTGGTCCGAGACACAGAAGAACAACAGCTGCAAGATTCGCACCCCGTGGCTTCAATCAACGCTTGATGGTAATAATAATAATAATAATAATAATAATAATAATAATAATAATAATAATAATAATTAATCAAAGCTCTCCTCAGATCGTTATTTAATTTTCTTGAATCATTTACGGAGTATTATATGCGTCCTTCTTTTCCTCTCTTTTCAAATCCAGAGTGTCACTGTAGATTTTCTCAAAAGGTTTGGACTTTTTGTGAGTTTGGGAAGGAAATAATGTATTTGGATTTTGGACCGTTGAGGACTTTTGACTTTCCCAACGTCTATATTCTCTGTGGCCCACCTTTTGAAATTAAAATCCTGATACTGTTGTTGGTAGTATTAAAAAATGAATTCTTTCTTGGTTATTCACAGTGACTTCTCACCCCAACCTTAACCCATTAAATATGTACTCTCTTGTGCAAATAAACTTTCCGTTGCGCGATACGATGTTTGACTGAAGTTATTTTTAAATCATTTTATATGAAAAATGATTGAAAGAACTACAAAACTAGAGGTGACATGACTATATTATTTTATCAAATGAGTGATGAAAATAGGCCAACAAAGTAAATAAAATTTGACCCTATGAATAGTGAATGAGAAGTTTATTTGTGGACAGAGGGAGTATTAAATAATATTTATTTACTTACTTATTTACTCCTCTTTTACTCATTTAGGTGTCTATTTTCTAAAATAGAGTGTATCTCATTATAAGAAATTAGTTTAAAATGTCAAATAGGTCACTTAATGGCATGTTTGGGAACATGGATTTGGATTTCAAATCCGGATTTGACTCAAATTCCATGTTTGGGAAATTCAAAAATTTTAAATTTGGATTTGAGTCAAATTCCTCTCATTCATAACAAAGCTTAATTTCAAATCCTTGCACCTCCCCTTGTCATTTGAAATTCAAGATTTCGAATCTTGTAATTGAAATGCATGAATTGAAATGAAATGCTAGTTGCCAAACACTACCTAAATGAATTTGTCACTCATTCATGTCGACAATGACATACTTTATGTTTAAGGTATTTCAGTTAGTGTTTGGGAGTAACATTTCATTTCAATTTGAAATTTCAAATTCTTAAATTTCAAATGACAAAAGAAAATATATGGATTTCAAATTGAGCATTGTTATGAATTAGAACAATTTGTCTAAAATCCAATTCCACATTTCTTACGGTTCCCAAACATGACATTTGAGTCAAATCTAGATTTGAAATCCAAATCCAAGTTTCCAAACATATCATCCCAGAATTCATCATTATCTTGTTGGAGTACTAAATCCTATATGCTTTAATAATGGAAACATTGGAAAGTAGTGCTAGTATTTAAAGAGAGTTTCCTGGGAAGTTAAATCTGGAGCATTATCAATTATCAAGAGGTTTAAATTTAAAGCACCATTGTTATTGACACTGGATTTAGTCTTAAATGGGCATCTAGCAGAAATGCATTAGAGTTGTTCGATCTCATAATTGCAATAAATTAAGTTAATGAAATCTAACTCTGTAAAAATAACAAATAATGCTTTATTACTTGAATGAATAGAAGAGGAATACAAAGTATGTATTTATAGGTGGAAGAATATATTCTAGAATCCTCCACATTAATGACTAATTATATAAGGTAATACGTAGTATTATATAATAATAACTCTAACTATAATAGGTAACAACCATAATTATAATATATAATATTAACTATATTAAATAATTGATATATTTAACATGCTCCCAACGTCCTGAACGGTGAAGATTGAACGTCAACTTTACTTGAATCGTGACCATAATTGTAATCAAAAGCTAGAGGCATATTTTCGGCTAGAGTAGACTGAATGCATCCGGCCTAGAAGAGAAGAAGAAGAAAGATTGCCAGGAAAGAGATGTGAAGGTGCCGATGAGGAGAGGAGAAAAGCCGTTGCGAACAGACTCATGCTGCTGACGTCGAAAGAGGGAGAAGGTTGACGCGCGCTAGAGTTGTGCGCGACTGGGTTAGAGAAGAAACACAAGGAATGAGGTACTGCCGGAGATGCATGTTGGCCAAAGATCTACCCACTAAGCAGGTTGAGGTGATGATCTTGGCGCCAGTAGTTTGGTGGAGTAGGGGTTGGCGGTCAGAGCTGCGGCGATTAGGAGAAGAGGATGGCGTTAGAGATGCCGGTGACTATAACAGAGTTTTTTTTGTATAACGGAAGAATTTATCCCCCAGGACAGAGTTGCGCTGTCAATCTAGGAGGACGGTGGCAGTGGATGCTCGGTTCGATCTCGGCCATCAATTTGAAGAAGAAGAGCAATTGCTGAGGGCGACACCGGTGGAAGATCTAGCGGCAGTATGAATTGATTTAGACCTCTTCTTTTTTAAGTCGTCGGACAACAAAAAAAACTAGAAAACTTTGTTGTGTTAGGAGATGGTGAAGAATTTGGGTCAGAGGAAAACAGTGATCCGGCGGGCGGCAGTTAATGGCGGTGCCGCCCGCCAGAAGCGAAAGCGGAGAAATTTATGTCACCAAGAACGGTGGCTCCGATACCATGTAAAAATAACAAATAATGCTTTATTATTTGAATGAATAGAAGAGGAATACAAAGTATGTATTTATAGGTGGAAGAATATATTCTAGAATCCTCCACATTAATGACTAATTATATAAGGTAATATTATATAATAATAACTCTAACTATAATAGGTAACAACCATAATTATAATATATAATATTAACTATATTAAATAATTGATATATTTAACAAACTCAATTCCTTAAATCCAATGCCTTTTCTTTTGTACAATCCTGGATAGAATCATAGCCTCCAATATTTAAGCAATACACAGATGGTCACATTGGTGGTTATTAGCCTCCAATATTAGCTCCCTATAAAGGCTATAATTTGTAATCTGTTTTTGGATGTGCATATAATTCAACTTAAAAATAACCTTTGCAACTTGTAGAGTTGGATGAGAGGACAAATGCAATGTTAAGGATAATCGAGGGAGATGCAGATTCGTTTGCGCGAAGAGCAGAGATGTTTTACAAGAAACGCCCGGAGCTCATCAGTATGGTTCAAGACTTCTACAAAGCCCACCGCTTATTGGCCGAAGGCTATGATCAACTGAAGTCCGAATCTGGTGCTCGTATGATTTCGCCTTGGCAATTGCCCCACCAAACTTTGAGCTTCAAGTGCCAGGCTGAGCATTCGGCGACCTCAACTTTCATAGCTTATGATAGCCATTCAGAAAGCTTTGAGCTTGAGGAGTCCGAGTTGTCTGATGTTGAAGACCCTGAAGAAGCCATAACTAATAATAATCATCAAAATGGAACGGAGAAAGTCTCGGTCTGCAATGGTGAAGTATTGAAGCTGAGTGAAGAGATCATCCAGCAAGCCAGAAAAGGAAGTCAAACCCTGAAAGATGATATGAAGAGAGATGAGATCTCAAGCGTTGTTGACAATGACGAAGTGGAGCAGCTGAAGGAAGAGAAGGAGAGACTCGAAGAAGAGACCAGAATTCAAAAGGAACTGCTGGAGCAGAAGGACGAAGAAAAGCGAGAAGCCATCAGACAACTCAGTTTGGCTATGGATTTGCTGAGGCGAGAAAATGCAAGTCTGAGGAAGAGTGTCTGCTACTTGAATGCCGGTAGGGAAATGCAACATCCTCCCAAGAATGAAGGGCGCCACAAACAAGGGTTCTGGAGGAAGTTCCTCCGCGGTCATCCAAAATCAGAAATTGGTCTGGTTACTTTCTAGAAGGCTCCAAATATAATTGCATCTTACTGAAGATGATGCAGCATGTAAAATACCACAATATGCTCTAGTCTGGTTTCATTAGTAATGCTTCCATGTATTGCATTCTAGCAGATATTTTTACTGATCCTACTTAATCATGTTTCTAATGTGCTTGCTAGCTGACTTTTTTTTTTAAGATAAAAAAAACATAAACCCCGTATTTCTTGATCTTTTCATTGTATACTGTCATCTTCATTTTAATGTATACTGTTTTCTTCAACATATTTTTGAAATTTTATGATGTATTTATTTCTTTTTTAGTTCTTTTTTTCCATTTCAAAAAACTTGTATGTTTTCAGAAGCTGTATGTTATTTTTCTGCACTAATCTAAAAAGTTAGTTAAAATATTGTGAAAGAATGTATTTATATATATATATATATATATATATATATATATATATATATATATATATATATATATAGTAATAACCTTATCTTATACTCCATCAAAGGTTAGATTATTTTTTCCGGAATAGTTAAAATTAATACTCCTAATTTAATTGTCTACTAAATTTATTGTGTCAAATAAAAGCAGTAACACCCACTTTAAAATACCTAAAATGAATCTATAATGGGTCAATCTGAACCAGGCATGAACAAGACTCTTTAACCTGAATGCTGCAAATTAAAAGCCAATCTTAAAGCAACGACAATGTGTGCAAAATATATAAGCGTTTAAGCACATGAAAAAACTGATCAAATCCCAAATGCAGATATCTTATCCAGTAAGAACAAATCAAAACAGAGATATGTAAATCATAGAAGAACAGTGTACCGAAATACAGTGGAGCAATCGGAAAAAGAAGAAAAAAACAGAAGCTGCTCACGAAAAGTTGGAGCCTTTATACACCAGAGACATGGATGATAGTATTACCCAGAATGCCATCACACAGAAACCCATGACTGTTGCTTGAAGAGAAGCAGAGGAGGAAACAGGTAACGAAACCGAAGGGGAAAGAGAAAGCGTTAGAGGGCCTGGAGCAGCCATGGCGTCGTCGTCTGGGTTTGGCGGGCTGGGGCTGGAAGGGATTGTGGGCAGCGAAGGTTGTTCAGCAGGAGGCAGCTCGGAGCCACCCGCGGAGGGGAAAAGGGGCGAAATGTCTGGCGAAGACGAGGGAGGAAATGGGAGCAATGACGGTGCGGGTGAAATGGAGAGAGACTTGGGGAGCCTGAGAATCAAGAAAGACATTAAGAAAAGGGTTGAGGAAGCCATTGATGATGGAGAAATAATGAATGTGAGGTGGTACAGAATTCGGGGATTATTATGAATGAGATGAGGAGACATTTGATGGTGGTGTGTCTGAGGTTAGGAAAAAAAAAAGAAAAGAAAAGACTGTTAAAGGAAGTGGGAGTATCTGTTCTTTACCTCTCTGGCATTTGGATTTTGTAGTTTGGCAGCCATTCATATTTTCATCATCTGTGATATTCCCTTCTCCACCGATCAACAACCCATTTTGCAAATAATTTCAGCTACTGACTTTTTACCTAATTCTCCTACCCCGTAAAATTGTTTTACTCACTCCAATATATTCGTAGGGAATAAATATTTTTTTGACTCTCAAATGTAATATTGTCATTCCAAATGTGTTCTCAGTTTTCACAAACAAAGTTACGTTTGAATGTGAGAATGTCAATGTCAAGTTTTGTGTCATTAACGGCTTTGTTTGCTGTTTTGTGTGGTGGGTTCATCTGGACTTTGTTAATGGGTTAATCTATTTGCTTTTGGTTTAAGAAAAAAATTAATTATAAAATCGAGATCTTCTTTTCTGTAATAATATTCTTTCATAATCCAATATTTTTTCTCTCTTTATTTATAACAAAACTTTCAATTAATAAAAATTTTACTCTATTAGCCTCTAAATAAATTGTATACCGGTTTTTGTTTAGGATATGTTTAAATAAAGTTAGTTTGGAATCTTATTATTTTAATATTGATATAAGGGTTGACTCTAGTGAGATGTCACCTTGCGGTGAGATGACATGCTACGGTCAAATGATGCAAAGCTCAACACTGTCCACTGCAAACGCTCACCAAACACAACTACAAAGCTCACCAAACTGTAAGGAAAAGCTAACCATATTTTTTCAACACTTTGAATTTTTCTTTGAAAAAAAATACTCAAAGAAGGGGTGCTGACTAGATTTTGGTCGTTGACCGAGACCTTTGAATTTTTAGTTTCAATGATAACTGAATTCGACATACCAACCTACTTACGAAATCAAATTTATAATTCAACCAATTTAACATCAATTTCCGCAAAAATTGAAGAAACTAGTAAGAATCAATTTTCATTCATAAGGGATTTAATATAACATAAAAAAACCTATAAAAGAACACCAACCATTTTGAAATTTTCGAAATTAACACAAACAAGGGAAAAAATGTAAATTTGAATTGAAACAACACTTTTACAAAGAAATTGAAGAAGAAAAAGAAATTGACAAATATAGGGTTACCAATTTGTTGAAGAAGATGAACAAATTGAAGAATTGGAACTGTGGTGGAGGCTTCCGACCGCTCACTGTGACTGTTGCGACCGCCGGTTTGCGTCTGCCGGCCGTTCGCCACCGCCGCCGCGGCTAGGCCGCGGCTCTCTGGTCGTTCTCTCCACTGGTTCCCCTCCTTTGAATTGTGCAATTTGCCTTCAATTTATAGGATAGTAGGAGCAAGGAGCCTTTAATTTCTTCCCGTTGAGAATTGATTGTTGTGAATCAAACGGAAGAACGTTGGAGCATCCGCGCTGGTTTATCGCGAAGAGGAAGAAGAAGTCGTAGACTTCAATCCTCAGTTCTTTTTTTTCCTTTCTTGTGTAAATCTTAAGAGGGCAAGGCCTGTACTTCTTTATTTGATGATGGGTTTGGGCTCTAGCCAAAATCAATATCTTCTTTCCAAACTTGAACTGCATTTTTGGCCTTCTGCTATATTTTTCTTCAAAAAAATAAGATATCTGATGGGTGTATTTCACCCATGACCGGTCAAAGGTCAAACCCATATAAGTTGACCGGTCAAGAAGGTAAAACTTAGGAGGGAGATGAATCGTTCATGGAAGGGCAAAGAGTTGACCAAAAGGTTGACCGGTATACTTCGAATAATGCACCGGTCTAACTATGTCGGGGCCTAATTCATCGTTTGAAGTTGGCAGATCCAACCCTCGAGAATCAACCGGTGCAGGTTTTAATTATAGAGAAGTGTCGGCAAGAAGAGTCCAAAAGGACTTGGATTGTAGTGGTTGGCGTTGCTGGGGACTCAATAGGGATGCTGGAGGAATATTTCCATGCCAGAACGCGACAAGGGGGGTAATCCCCCTCGCAAGATGACAAGGCGGCTCAGGGACAGTCATCTCGCACCACATCAGCAGCGTGCCCCCACGTGGGCGCACGTGGACCTGTCCCCCCAGCTTAGTATATATACCTCTTGTAAACCTCAGAAAGGGGATCCGAATTCATTCTCTCTAACTCCCTTGTAAAAGCACCCGTGCATTCTCCGTTATAATATAAATTGGGCTACAGGTGTTCCACCTAAAGTCCTACCGGTCAATCTGCGTGTTTTTACCTTTCTTACTTTGCCAAATCAAGCAAACTATTCTAGACCCGGTCTAGTATAGTTTGACCGGTCAAGTAATTTACACTATCATTTTTGGCGCCATCCGTGGGACCGTTAAGGTTTCTTCTCTTCTAGACACAAACCCACCCACAAAAACACCACTCAAAATGTCTTCAAGCCAACAAATCAACGCTACTTCCACTCAGGTGCAAGCCACCAATGAAGGTACCAGCATCCCTGTGGCTGCTATCATACCGGTCATTTCAGCCCCGGTGTTGCCTTTGGGTCTGAGCTCTGTCCCGACGGCCAGCGTGATCAGTCCCTTCGTGACCCCCGTCCCTTCCGCTGGACCGAGGGTCACGTTCCCACCAAGCATGACTCAGTTCATGAATGACCCAGCCAATCTACAAGCCATCCAGGGCTTCGGTCAGGTCATGGCCATGTGCCAACAGAGCGGGGGGATGCCTTGTCTCCCTGGTATGTTCCCGTTTGCCCTTCCAGGCGCGGGAACCGTGCCCCTGCAAGCTCCGATGGCGGTGACGTCGTTCCAGACGCCGATGCCGCAGCCATCACCTTTCCAGCCCCAGCTGGTCAGCACCATGGCCCCTGTCAACTTGACCGGCGCACTTAACGCCGCAGGGCCGTCGCATCCCCCGCAAGGTATGAATCCGCAAATCACCCCTGATGGTCATTGCGTCTCAATTGAGAGTGATGACGGCGAGTGGGACATTCCAAGGGCCCACAAGAAGAAGAAAGGAAAAAACATCCGGCCAGCGACCTCCCGAAACTCCGCCTTCGAAAGGCTGGGGGATAGGGAGGAAGGCCGGAGGAAGTAAGCCAAGCAAAGGCTGGGGCAGAACATTGCCCATGTCAGCGCATTCGCCCGGCTAGGCGAGGTGCGGGAGGCCGAGCCTGCCCGCACCCAGTGCTCCTGGTCTAACCTAAACGAGGGCCTCTCGTCAGGAAGAGGAAGCGGCGAGCCAGCCCAGGTTACCGGTGGCGAACCGGTTGACCGTCCCAAATGACCGCGTCCAGCAGATGGAGGCAAAACTGGAGAGGCTGGAAAAGAAGGTCGGGGAGAAGAATGACCGGGACAAACCCTTGGCGGGGTCCCCGTTCACCTCAAGGGTCCATCTGATACCTTTCTCGCGGAAGGTCAAGATCGACGCCCCCAGATTCACCGGGAAGGAAGATCCGGAAATCCATCTGGATTCCTTCAACCAGAGCGCGACCATGAACGGTTGCACCGATGAAGAAAAGTGCCTTCTTTTCTTCCAGACCTTGCGGAACCGAGCCACTGAATGGTTCAATAAGATTCACCCAGGAAGCAATGATTCATTCAGTGATTTGGCCTCAAAATTCAAGGCCAAGTTCCAGGAGAATTGTACTAAGAGGAAGAAATTCACCTATCTTAGTACAGCCGGGCAGAGGGATTCTGAGAACCTTACTCAGTTCCTTACCCGGTGGAAGGAAGAGGTAGACAAGGTGGAAGAGATGGATGACAAGACCGTCCTCTCCCTCCTCTTGAATGGCTTGCGTGCTGGGGAACTATACAAGGAGTTCTGCAGGAAACCCCCAGCCACATACCAAGAGGCCTACCATACTGCATGGGAGTTTGCTGAGGCTGAAACTCAACTCCGGGCAAAGAAAGAAGCTGAGCATGGCTACAAGCCCAAGCCGGTGCAAGTTAAGAAGGAGGAAGCACCGGAACCTAGCCGGCCGAGGCACCACTATGACCCGGTCATCCGAGTGGTCAATACGGAAGAATGCCAAGAAATCCGGAAAGCACCGGTCATTCCTCCAGAAAACCCTACCGGTCAAACAGGGTGGCAATGGTCGGGCACCTATTGTTCGTACCACAGGTCAGATTCCCATAACACCTCCGAATGTAAGAGTGTTAAGGGAGTAATCCGGTAGATGATAGACAGTGGAGAGCTGGGCAAGGATTACTTGCAGAAAGCCCAGGAGAAAAGTCATCAATGGGTTAGGCCAACTGCCCCGGGAGATGACCGGGACAACGACCGGCGGAGGAATAACCGGCCAAGGGAGCGACAACCTGCTCCCGAAAAAGAGCACATCGGCATGATCTTCGGCGGACCTGAGGGTGGAGATTCAACCGCACAACGGAAGAACTGGGTTCGGAGCATCTACATTCGGGAGGTAAGTGCTGAACCGCCCAGGCGTAAACATACTAGGAGGGAGCCGATCGTCTTTACTGACCGGGATCTCCCTCCTACCGGTGAAGATCACAATGATCCATTGGTCATCACCATGGACATTAATGGGGTGGACGTCGCCCGGGTACTTGTTGACACCGGCAGCAGTGTCAACATCTTATACCTGGAGACTTTCCAAAAACTCAGGTTGAGTCGGACACAACTTGAACCCCTCAAAACCCCTCTCTCAGGCTTCACGGGAGACACCGTTGAAGCTGAAGGATCCATAGTTCTACCGGTCGAACAAGGATCAGGTGAAAAGACCGTGTGGAAGAAGATGCGGTTCATAGTTGTGGACATCAAATGCGTCCACAACGCAATTCTTGGAAGGCCACGCATCAATAGAGTCGGGGCGGTGATTTCCATGCCTCATCTATGCATGAAATTCCACACTCCGGGTGGTGTGGGTGAGGTGAAGGGCGACCAGAGGAACGCCCGGGAGTGCTATGCCCGGGCAGTCAAGAAGATGACCAAGGGGGTCAATGTCATCTCCCAAGAAATCACAAAGGGAGAGACCCGGGAGAAATTGGAGCCCGAGGCCGAGACGGTGGAAATCGAACTTCACCCGGGTGATTCTTCGAGGATGGTCAGAATTGGAGCAAATCTCCCCAAAGATCTCATGGCATAGATTACACGGGTCCTTCAAGAATACGCGGGCATATTCGCATGGAGCGTGGCGGATATGCCCGGGATAGATCACTCTGTTATCTGCCACCGGTTGGCCGTGAGGGAAGGAAGTCGACCGGTACGACAAAAGAAGCGGTACCTGGCCAGTGACCGGCGAGACTTCGTCAAGAGGGAAGTGAAAGACCTCCTCAGTGTTGGTCACATCCGGGAAGTCAAGTACCCGGATTGGCTGGCCAACGTTGTCCATGCTCCCAAGGGCGACACGTGGAGAATGTGTGTGGATTATACGGACTTGAACAAGGCTTGTCCGATGGATTCATACCCCCTCCCCAGTCCAGATCAAATGGTGGACGAAACTGCGGGGTGCGAACTCCTAAGTTTCATGGATGCCTTCAAGGGTTACCACCAAATCTACATGGCTAAGGAAGATGAAGAGAAGACGTCATTCCTCACACCTGAAGGAACCTACTGCTACCAGGTAATGGCGTTTGGCTTGAAGAACTCAGGGGCAACCTACCAGCGCATGGTGAACAAACTCTTCAAGCCACTGTTGGGAAAGACCGTGGAGGCATACGTCGACGACATGCTGATCAAAAGCCAGGTATCTCTGAACCACCCGGCTGATATGCGAGCCACGTTCGATATCATGGCAAGATACAACCTCCGACTGAATCCTAAGAAATGCGTCTTCGCGGTTCGTACCGGGAAGTTCTTGGGATTCATGGTGACCAAGAGAGGAATAGAGCCCAACCTAGAAAAAATCCGGGCCATCACTGAAATGCAAGCCCCTACCTCCGTTAGGGATGTTCAAAAGTTGACCGGTCATCTAGCGGCCCTCAGCCGGTTCCTTTCCCGGTCAGCTGAAAGATCCCTGCCCTTCTTCAAAGTTCTGAAGAAGGCCAACACATTTGCATGGGACGAAGAATGCCAGAGGGCATTTGAGGAGCTGAAAGACTACCTAGCGTCGGATATTGTATTGTCTAAACCCGAACCGGGTGAAACTCTGTATCTGTACCTGGGAATTTCCCCAAATGCTGTAAGCTCCGTTTTAATAAGAGATGATGGGGCACAAAAGCCCATTTATTATGTGAGCAAAGCACTAAACGGGGTTGAGAGTAGATATACGGCGATGGAAAAGACAGCCTATGCGCTTTTCATCTCCGCAAAAAAGTTAACATCCTACTTCCAAGCTCACCCGGTAGAAGTCTTGACTGACCAACCGCTGGGTGCAGTGTTGCGAAATTCAACATCCTCCGGGAGGATGGTGAAGTGGGCGATGATGTTAACTCAATTCAACATTGAGTACCGGCCGAGGTCAGCAATCAAGGGACAAGCCCTTGCTGACTTCTTGGTAGAGATGATCGGTCTAACTACAGACCTACCGGTCAACAAGCCCATTGATCAATGGTGGGAGATGGCAGTTGATGGGGCATCCGGTCCTAGAGGGTACGGGGGTGGTATCGTGTTCACCACCCCAGAAGGGTTCAAGATCTACCATGCGATCGTCTTCAACTTCAAGCTGACGAACAATGAGGCAGAATATGAAGCTCTGGCTGGAGGGCTCAGACTTGCCCAAGCCCTGAAAATCAGCCGGGTCAGTATCAAATCTGACTCTAGCCTGATCGTTGGGCAAGTGACCGGTAACATGGAGGCAAGGGAAGAACGCATGGCACAATACAAGGACCTTGTACTTGCCCTGTTGAAAGGCTTCGAAGAGTTCAAGATCGCCCAAATTCCCCGAGCAGAGAATGCGGATGCAGACCTTCTCTCCAAGTTGACGCAGTATGCTCCCGAGCATGTTTCAAAACTTGCCCGGGTAGAGATCCTTGACCGTGCAAGCATCGAAAAATTGGAAGTCGCTGCTATAACGGCCGGAAGCCAATTTGACCGGTCAAACCTGGTCGGGGCGGACGACCATTGGATGTATGATCTGATGGAATATTTGATGGATGGGAGCTTGCCAGAACAAGATGACCGGGCAAGAAAAGTGAAGCTCAGGGCACCCCGATTCCAGGTTCTTGATGGCAAGTTGTATAAAAGGGCATTTGGGGGGGCACTCCTAAGATGTCTAACTAACCGGGAGGCCGAGCGAGTCATAGCGGAAGTCCACAAGGGTGTATGCGCGGCGCATCAAATGTCTCATACGCTTTCCCAACGCATCATCTTGTTGGGGTATTACTGGCCAACAATTGTCCAGGATTGTGAGAGGTACGTTCAGAGATGCAGGACGTGCCAAGTATTCTACAAGTATCCTGGTAGGCCGGCGACCTACTATCACCCCGTATCAAACGTCATCCCATTCGCTAGATTCGGGGTTGACATCATCAGAGCATTCCCAGTCGCCCAAGGAGGGAGGAAGTTCGTGATCGTAGCCATCGATTACTTCACCAAATGGATCGAGGCCGAAGCATTGGCCAACATCACCACGCAACAATGTAAGAAATTCATTTGGAAGAACATCATCACGAGGTTTGGAGCGCCCATGAACCTCATCACCGACAACGGCCCACAATTCCGAAATCCGAGGTTCACCGAATACTTGGAGGGCTTCGGAATCAAGCACAATCGCTCCTCGGTAGCGTACCCCCAGGGGAATGGCCAAGTCGAAAACGCCAACCGAACGATTGTGGACGGTCTAAAGAAACTGCTGGGAGAAGCAGGAAACAAGTGGCTGGAAGAGCTTCCACACATCGTGTGGGCATTCCGAGTAACACCCAGGAGGGCTTATGGGGAAACTCCATTCTCCCTAACCTATGGGTGTGAAGCAAGGCTGCCCATCGAGGCTGAATTCCCAACGTTCCGGGAATCAAATTATCAACCCCAACAAAATGAAGAAGACCACTTGGCCGAGCTCAACTTGGTCGAAGAACGAAGAATGGCCGCGGAGGTTAAAATAAGTACATACCAACAAGTCGTGAAGAAGTACCATGACAACAAGGTTGGGCCGTGGTACTTCCAAGTTGGAGATGAAGTCCTACGAAGAAGAGAAGCAAGTAGACCTGGCGATGGAGGAAAGCTGGCCAAAAACTGGGAAGGACCTTACCAGGTGAGGACTATCATTCGCCCGGGAACCTACCGGTTAGAAACTCTCGATGGTGTACTGGTAGAAAGAACCTGGAATTCCCATCACCTTCGCAAGTTCTACAAATGATTGTAATACTAGGCAAGGCCTACTTCAATTGTCGATCAAATTAAGGTTCAATACTCTGCATGGTAGCAGCAGGATTGATAGGTCGAACCTATCCTAAGAGGGCTTCCCGGGTGGATCGAATCCACTTGGATAAGCCAACTGAGACACAGGCCCGGACCTGGCACGCTGGTTACTACACCGGTCTTGCTCAGTATAATAGAAAAAATATTAAAACCCGGAAGAGGGGCCCGGAAGATGGTATGCCTACAAGAGGGCTGGACCTGGAAGAGGGTTCGAACCGTATGTACACGGGCCCATGAGGTTTGACTGGTGTCGGGGAATCAGCCGGCGCCGTCAAATTGATTGGGGACTAAAAGATGCCCATTAAAAGAAATAGAAGGGGATCGTCCACCGTGGCGCATCCTGTTTCCCCCTTCTCAGGAAAGACTTGAACGGGGGGGTGAGCTAAGGCCTTCCCGGGATGGTAGAAATCAAAGGGCCTTCAAAAGACTTAATCACCCGGAAGAGGGGCCCTGGAAGAAGGGTGCATTTGAACCTTGGAGAGGGTTCGAAACCATTCGACATGGTTAAATCTCCAGTATTCTTACCGGTTAAGGATACTTCAAGAATTACTAGGTTACAGGTGCTTCCACCTACAACCTACTGGTTAAAAAAAAAGAATACCCCGGTTGGGTATTGGTACAGCGGAACTTCGGAAGTTCTTCTAGGCAAAGCAGTTGACCGATCGTACCGTAAGGTGGGAACGTACCGGTCAAAAGGTAGTCCAGCCGGTCAAACGTTTTAAGTTGGCCACCATGATGAAGACAGCCAAGAAAGCAAAAATTAAAGTTTGACCGGTCGAAAACAATTGAGAAGTGACTTGATTTATGTAACGGTCAGAATATCTAAGAAGCAAGCAGATATGGAAGATTAACCGGTATGGAAGTCAGACATCGCATTCATACAAAAAAAAAGAAAAAAGAAGAAAGTTTGAAGTTTTACAGCTACGCCGGGCATTCCCGGGAAAATAAGTTTGAAAGTTTGGAAAAACGATTCAACCGGTCGCAGCCGGGAAGATTACTCAAGAGGAAAAGGAGGTGCAGGTTCTTCGTCCGGGATGGGGGCAAGGCCGTATGAATCAGCGTCAAAATGCGGGTCCCGGTCAGCGAGGATCGCGTGGCTGGCCTCCCGGTCATCTCCTTCCCATGGTCCTCCCGGTACAAAAGCTTGAAGCCCTCCATTGTCCTCTCCTCAGAGGAAGTAAGCACCCGGGCGGCCTCTACCAAGTTCTCCTCCATCCACTGTCTGGCCCGACCGGGCAGCTCTTGCTCCTTCACCCATGCCTCCTCCTTCAGGTGGGAGACCTCCCCCATCAACAGCGAGTTCTCCTCTTTCAGCTGGAGGACCTCCGCGTTCGCCCTACCGGCAACCGCCGAGAAGTTGGCCATCTCGTCAAGTTGCCGGGTTGTCAGGTCTTGAAGCTCCCGGTTCTGGACTTCAAGCCTCTTCAGTTTTTCCTCCAGCTGAAGTGACCGGGAAGGGGAGTCCTCGGCAAGCCTCCCCAAGGTTTCAGGCCCAACCTCACCCATCTACAAAACCAAATGTACCGGTTAGTACGACAGACAAGTAATAAATTCAAGAAAATGTACCGGGCGAATGTTACCTCTTTCAGCTTTCGCCCCATCTTGACCCAGAGCTCCTCTAACGACTCTGTGGCCAGGGCGCTTTCTCCCCTCCTCCTCTTTGCCGAGGGATGGGTGGTGGCGGCGTGCTTGGTTCGGACCTTCCCCTTCCCCTTGTCTAGGGGAGGGTTTACCGTGGTTCTCCCGGCCTGACCGGTCCTCCCGGTCGGAGGAGTTTCCTCCTCAGAATTGATCTCCACCGATTCCTGTTGCACCAGTACAGTTCTTGGGGCAGCAGAGGAGGAGCCTCCGGTCTTCTTCGTGGGGATGTTGAATGCTCTGAAGTTCATCTCTGCAAAATAAGCGAAAATATAAGTGTTCGAGCCCTGACCGGTATAATCAGAGAGGGAGGAAAGAATAGGAAAGGGTACCTGGGTGACTGGAGCCCCCAGCCTCCGCAGTGTTGCCCGGGGCGGGTACCCCGTGCCCCGCTGCTTCATCAGCCCTGGGGGTACCCGTGCCACCCGGTGAGATTCTCCAAATCCAAGACCCGTAATGGAACATTTGCCCGGTGAACGGGTCCCCTTGTAAAAGTTTCTCCAAACTTTCTTCCAAGTCTGGAGCGCTAGCCGGCTCAGTGTATTGCGGTTTCAGGAGGTGATCGTTCCACTTTATGCCGGCCAGAGGGGAAATGGAAGGAAATTTTATAAAAACAAATTTTTCCTTCCACTGCCGGTTGCTTTGTGGAAGATCGGAGATAAATTGACGGCCGTTACGGCCCTTGAAAGAGACATAACCGTCGCATCCCGACTTACCAGGAAGGACTTCAAACAAGAAGAGAAACAGGCGAAGGGAAGGGTCGATCTTAAGTTCAATGCAGATATTTACAAAGGCGTTGAGGAAACGATGGGCATTGGGCGTAAGATGCCCGGGAAGGATTTTAAAACAGTGGCACAACTCGACAAGGAGGGGACGGAGGGGGAAGACGATGCCACTCTCCAAAGAAGTGATGTGGAAGCCTATTCTATCTTCCCGGTGAGGCTCGATAATGTTCGGCCAGTTAGGGTCAAATTCAAGGACGTACCCCTCCGGGAGATTCCTACGAACCTTGTTTTGGGCAATTTTGGAAACATGGGGGAAAATGTCTGAGGGGTAGCTAGTGGGGAGGGGAAAGTAACCGGCCGCTTCCAGCCGGTTCGCCCATCCCTCATATGACTCGTTATCAGGGTCATAGGGAGCCGGCTCATCGTCAACCGGTTCATCCCTCTCCTGAAAAACCTGACCGGGCATCTGGTTAACCGGCTGCGGTTCGGGAACGGTGGTGTTGGGAACCGACCGGTGTTCAAAATTGGGTGAAGATGACCCGGTGGAGGAGGAAGAAGATGGGGATTCCTCGGATGCGTAGGCATCCGAGGCGGAAATATCCTAGCTGTCCGAGGAAGACATTTAACGGGAGGAAAAATGGAGAACAAAGAAAGCTAATGAGAGAAAGTAAGGAGCTTACTTGTTTCGGAGGGCTAGGAAGCTAGAGAGAGAGGCTTGACCGGTGAAACTCAAGAGACGCGCGAGAGGAAGTGAAGAAATGAATGGGGTGGAGCTCTTTATATAGGCGAGGAAGGAAGGGAACGGGCGACGTGCCCACTCAAGGGCGCGCCGCGTCAGGCGGCGCAATGATGGCGCATGGGAAGACGAACGGACGGGCTGACAGCGATTCAGAACGTATGGTTGAGGCGCGACACGTGTCTGGATTCAAATTTTGAAATTTGAATTTTGAAATCCCTGGGTGGGAAAAGCTGAAATTCGAAATATAAAGTCCTGTTTCAGATTTTTACTTCCCGCTTATGACAAAATTGCATAACCGAGAAGTGGAGGGCTTATTGATGGGTGTATTTCACCCATGACCGGTCAAAGGTCAAACCCATATAAGTTGACCGGTCAAGAAGGTCAAACTTAGGAGGGAGATGAATCGTTCATGGAAGGGCAAAGAGTTGACCAAAAGGTTGACCAGTATACTTCGAATAATGCACCGGTCTAACTATGTCGGGGCCTAATTCATCGTTTGAAGTTGGCAGATCCAACCCTCGAGAATCAACCGGTGCAGGTTTTAATTATAGAGAAGTGTCGGCAAGAAGAGTCCAAAAGGACTTGGATTGTAGTGGTTGGCGTTGCTGGGGACTCAATAGGGATGCTGGAGGAATATTTCCATGCCAGAACGCGACAAGGGGGGTAATCCCCCTCGCAAGATGACAAGGCGGCTCAGGGACAGTCATCTCGCACCACATCAGCAGCGTGCCCCCACGTGGGCGCACGTGGACCTGTCCCCCCAGCTTAGTATATATACCTCTTGTAAACCTCAGAAAGGGGATCCGAATTCATTCTCTCTAACTCCCTTGTAAAAGCACCCGTGCATTCTCCGTTATAATATAAATTGGGCTACAGGTGTTCCACCTAAAGTCCTACCGGTCAGTCTGCGTGTTTTTACCTTTCTTACTTTGCCAAATCAAGCAAACTATTCTAGACCCGGTCTAGTATAGTTTGACCGGTCAAGTAATTTACACCATCAATATCTAATAATTTTAGGTCAGGGAAAATAAATTAAAATAATAAAATGTAAAAAATGATTAAAAACCATTATTTATGAAAGAAAAATAAAAGATTGTAAAAATGAGAATTAAAATAAAACTAAGTAAAACAACTAAAAACTAAACAATAAAAGTATTAAAAATGCCTAAAATTGAATAAAAAAGTACTAACCCAAACCCGACTTATCAAATACCCCCACACTTAAGAGTTGAACGTCCTCGTTCAAAAAACCAAACAGAAAACAAACTTTTAAATTCAATCATCATCAAGAAGAACAAAATGCACCTTACAAACCCACTCCTAAGACTTTATGCCCATAACATTTTTCAGAACAAAGTGAGCTACAAATCTTATAAAGATGGAGATCTAAAGTATGGATTATTTGGGTTCTAAAAAAAATGCTCTAAAGTTGCCACAAAAAAGTTTCCTAAGGGAATCCTATGCTTCAAACGGCTCAATGGCAACGCTAGCAAAACTTTTAAAATAACCTAAAAGATAAAAAACACACAATTTTCTAAAAATTAAAGAAAACTCCTAAAATTGATTCTTAAAACTTTTAAAGATCACACAAGGTTATTAAAATAGCATCTATATAATATGTGGATGACTAGTTTTAGGAAACAAAATTCTAAGGAATGCCTAGAAGAATTTCAAAAGTGTAGAATTTTCATTCTGCACTCAAAAAAACAAGCTTACAAGGTGCATATTTTCAGTTTATAGCCCAAAAATCAAATTGAGAAGTGCAGAATTTTTCCATTGGTACTCAAAAATCAGCCTTAAAAGTGTAGAAGTTTTCAATTTTCATCTCATAAATGATCAAATATAAACACAGAAGGCTTAAGAAAATTGAAATTTAATGGCATACCAACACCCGAGCACTTCGAGCCCCTGTTTTAAAACAAATTTTTTTGCACCATAATGTGCAGATTTTTACTCCAAACACCATGCTTCCACCTAAAACTTAACAAATCTTGCAAAAATCTCTCAAAGTAGATGGTTAGAAGCACAGGTAAAGTGAAAATAAACAATTAAGCTCAACAAGATCACTTTTTTTTTGATTTTATACATTAAAAAACACTAAATGAAAGAGAGAGAAAAAATATTCCTATAATTACAATAAGTACAACTAGATCGATTTGGAAAAACAATTACAAGAAAAGTAAGTAAGTTAGTTATTAAAAGAAAGAGAATAAAAACCAAATTAACCATTACAAGGGGGGGAAAAATTAAGTACAACAACAAGTTAAAGTTAGTAGTAAGCATAAGGAACTTAAAGAAAAATTAAAAACGCTATAAAAGTAAGTGGGTTATGTTAAAAAAATTAAGAAGGAAAAAAAATGCAATCAACAACTATAAGAGAAGAAGAAAAAAAAGTACAACAATTACTAGAAGTTAGAAGTAAAAAGATTTTTTAAAAAAAACTTAAAAAGATAGTGGGTTGCCTCCCATAAGCCGCCCGATTTAACGTCTTTGGCTAGACACAGTTTACTACTTGCAAACAAATATTCACTTAAGGCATGAAGTAGTAAAGCAAGTATGTTTCTTTAAAACAACCAAAAAGATAAAAACAAGATAAGCATCAAGAATTGAATTCAACTCTAAGAATAGCATTTTTAAGCTCCATTAAGAATGGAAAAATCAGATTTAAAGTTGCACAAATAGGCTTCAAAGTCTTCTTGAAATCAATTTGAGAGCAGCACGGAGCATAGATCGATCAAGACAAGATTAAAAATGCATGCTAAATTCTCCCACATAAGTTCCCATGAAAGTTTTAACAATGAAACTTCAAAATTCAGCATATAGGCATCTTGGACCACAAAAATCAACATGCGCATAAAAAAGAATGCAGATTTTTTTTAAAAAAACAGCACTTGGATAAGTTTTTATCAAAAATTCAGAACAATAGGCATCAAAATCAGCATACAAAAACCTCATGATATGCTTCTAAGTATTGTCCCCAAGCAAGATAGAGCAATGATATTTCAAATTTCAAGCATATGGAGCACTCTAAGGGACAAAAACATCAAACCATAGAGCTAATACTCCAGATTTTGAGAAAAATCAGGAAGTAAAAACCCTTCAGTTTCTCTCTTTTTTTTTCGTTTTGAAAATCAGCCACTAAGACATACAAAATGATTATACACAAGCTGTACATACTAGTATACAACATCAATGCAATTTAAATATAACATATATGAACAGTAGAGAAAAAAAGCATAAAATACAACAATTGACAACAACATATATGTTTTTTTTACAAAAAAAAAGTTTATTCTAGCTCTCTAATAAATCACATATGTACTCTAAGATACAATAAATGTAAAAAATAAAAGTAAAGATAAAGAATTTACAACATTCTTACAAGAACACATATGCATACGAAACTGATTTTTTTTTACAAAACAATTTCCCCGGCAACGGTGCCAAAATTTGTTGAGGACTTGTCATGCGGTCCAAAACAAATTAAAAATTTATAAAATATCCTTAGCTAACCCCCAATATAATCAAATAAAAACTATAGCTAGGGCAAGTAAGGGTCGATCCCACGGAGAAAGTTTGTACTTTTTAAAAGCAATTTAGTATGCAAACACGTTGTCACTAAATAAAATAAAAAAACTACTACACATATGATAAGACGTATAAAACTTATAATAAAACTTATAACTATAACTTATATAAACAAAGAACTTATAATATAACTGAAACACAACACAAAGGGGGGGTTTAAATAAAAAGTAAATATTTTTTGGTTTTTTATATTTTCTTATTTTTTTGGTTTTTTGATTAAATGGGGGAAAACAAGCTGAAAAGATAATCAACTTCTCAAATTAGGGTAACCCAAGAAACACCGCCAAGAACCCAAAACAAAATTAAAAAGAGAATGAACACAAAACGAACATTACACGTATAATAGGCACGTAGACAATATATTACGTAACTTACGCACTTAAAAATAGAAAAGAATTCAAAGGCTCGAGTTGATTCATATCCTTGACCACATGTAGAGGATTGTCAACTCTCTATAAGGCCCGGAGTCAAGAATTCAAAGGCCTTTTGGTTACTTTGAACCCCCACTCACCTCAAGCGCTCAAACAATGATTCCAAAAGATGAAAAAGTTTATAAAAGAGCGAATCTTTCTTTCATTCTAACTCCCATGCACAAAGTATTCATGAAGAACATTTGATACACTTTAATAAACTTTAACGTCTAATGATGAAAATATTTTGAAGGTCTCCTTGAACAACTTAAGCGTAAGAATTTTAGTCTATTCACATAAAAGAACATTACATATTTTCATTAAATCAAGAGTTGTTTATTGCGCTTAAACAATCCCATTTTTTATGAAAATAACAAACAAGAACACCGAGACATAAACAATCACTTTATAACGAATCTTAAGGAAAACGTTCAACTTATGTGGCTAATAAGTTCATTTACCTTAAAATTTTACAAAACATATAGCACAGTGAAGAATCACGTATGAATTCGAGAATCATTTAACTAAAATATGGAGCTAAATTAGCTTTAATGATAACTGAATTCGACATACCAACCTACTTACGAAATCAAATTTATAATTCAACCAATTTAACATCAATTTGCGCAAAAATTGAAGAAACTAGTAAGAATCAATTTTCATTCATAAAGGATTTAATATAACATAAAAAAACCCATAAAAGAACACCAACCATTTTGGAATTTTCGAAATTAACACAAACAAGGGGAAAAATGTAAATTTGAATTGAAACAACACTTTTACAAAGAAATTTGAGAAGAAAAAGAAATTGACAAATATAGGGTTACCAATTTGTTGAAGAAGATGAACAAATTGAAGAATTGGAACTGTGGTGGAGGCTTCCGACCGCTCACTGGGACTGCTGCGACCGCCGGTTTGCGTCTGCCGGCCGTCCGCCACCCGACTTATCAGTGTCTGTAAGCTTTTCTTTACAAACATAACGTGTCTTTGAGAGTGTAGATAAAGAATCTAGACCTCTGGTCACAAATCATTAAACCTACATAGATGAAATATACTCTACAACGAGTAAATATGATTTAGCTTATTTTTCCAGTACCATCTAACCAAAATTTGAGAAGGATTTGATATAGTCAAACTATAGGTTGATACTACAAGTCCAATACCATTCCTTGCCAACTGCATTCTCACGTGATTCATTATGTAACTTTGACATGAAAGAATGAGGTTTTAAAACTAATGGTTAGAAATTTTATTTCTTTAGAAAGCCAAATTTGTACAAAAACAATTATTAACCTATTGTGACTATTCTAAAAATTGGTTTCAACTAACATTCTTCCTACTAAGAAAGCTAAGAAAGGTGAGTAGACACAATAGCTGGAGGAGTAAGTTGCGACATTGAAACTCACCTACAAGTATTAAAACATTCTTATACATTATGTGGTGTGTGATTTTTAGACGATAAATGTCTGTGATGTGCATTTGGAAGTTACCAAACATGAAACATCTATGACAAATATATCCCAGACACGTAATGTTTTGACAATACTGAGAATGATAAAACGTTTAATATTCACAAATTTTATGTTTGTTTAATTAAAAGATTTGTCTATGCAACATCTACATGTCTAGTTTCACAGACTTGAAATGTCTATGCGGGGTTTCTCACATGCACCTCATGTCTGTGTGAACCTGAGAACAATAAAGTATTACTTTTTCATAACAATATTAAATCAGACTTCAAGCACTCAAAAATAAATAATTTACATAAACAAAACATTGTTAGGCATGATTTTTACTCAGATCTTAACGCAACCCAAAAGACTGTGTCAAAAGATTGAATCTTTGCTCGAAAAATAAGAATAAATTGCAACAAAGACCCATATTTACCCTCCAAAATCTTATTTTTTTAAAAATTACTGAAAAAATTGATTTGAAAAATGATGAAACTAGTTTTGAAGAAAAATCAAGCTATTGGATGGATTCAAGAAGAGAAATTAGTCGGGCGAGAAAATATTGGAGAAAAGGATTCACAAGTATATGGATGACTTGTCCTAAAAATTGCAATTGTTGCTTATCCAGAAAATTTATTTGGAGATTTTTTTTTGTAATAGCCACTGCATCAAATGACAGTTCTCCACAAATCGAATATTGGCCAGGAGTGATTTTTTGTAGGAATCAGAAGCGACATTTTAATAGTATGTGCAAAAAAATGCACCTGTGATTACCATAATCATGTAATAAGTGAACAAAGAGTAATGATAAGGACAACCAAAGAGGGTAGAATACAATCATATGATACACATTGTTAAGTAAAAAATCGACATTTAAAGCCTATAACCTTTAGTGCACATATTGAACATACATTTTTTGCTTCTATCTAACACTTCACATACTTTTGGAGCTATTTTTATATCAGGACAGCACTTTAGCTGTTAAATAGACATTTCACGTTTGTGACTACCACCTCACATACATTTAGAACAATTTTTTAAACAGAGCACTATTTCACATGTAAAAAAGGCATTTTACACAGGTAACTAACAGTTCACATACATTTAAAACAATTTAAGACAGTTATAAACAAAAAACGAAATTTACAATGTTATGGTTCATAATCAAACAAAAAAAATTAAGAATTCATATATTGTGGTCATTGATACTAACAATAACATGAAACTTTAACTTAACTCTCTATTTATACCTGCCACGGAGCAAAGGTATGATTGGAAAATTGGGCGTCGAAGCTCAATCCATGGCGCAAAGTTCAGATCGGATATTGGAATGGACGAAGGTCTGATCCGCAAAGGTCAAGTTGTACCGGTGAAGCTTTGATGGAAGAAAAGCTGTGGGTTAAGGAGAAAAAAAGAAAGGAAGAGAGAGAAAGAGAGAAGAGTTGGGGTGATGGGGGTATTTCGTGTGGGGTACAGGTAGGGGTGTTCAAAAATATTCGATCCGAAATATCCGTCCATGATCCGGGCATTTTCGATCCGAAAAACGGATATCCGATCCGATATTTTAGCTTTCGGATATTTCGGATCGGATACCTGAGAAAAATCGGATCGGATATGGATCTAGTTTCTGGAATTTTTCGGATAATCGGATATCCGATTTTTTCTCTCTATTTGTTTAATGGAATTTTATGGATAAATATTATGGCTATATGTTTAATACAATTTTATGTTGATTTTGGAATTCAAGCATTTTTGACTTTTTGCATTAGCATTTTGGAACTTTTTGTTTTAGTAGTACTTTTTTTTGTTTATTTAGGCAAACTTACCAAAGTTACTTCTAAATTGAATTTGGCATCATTTTTTATTAGGCCATTACCTAGTGGTGGAATTTTGCTTTTAGTAAATCTATATTGAATTTGATATTGTGAGTTGATTTTGCTATTTTACCTTTTTTTTGTAAAATTTGGCTAAAAAGTTAACTTTTCGGATAATCCAATGATCCGGTCCGAAAATTTGGATATCCGAATTTCGGTTATCCGAATATTTTCGGATCGGATATGGAATGAGTTTTACATGATTCGAAATTTTCGGATATTCGAATTTTTGGATCGGATTGGATCGGATCGATCCGATTGAACACCCCTAGGTACATGAGTATATGGTATATATCCGATATACGTAACCAGTGTACCCATACAAGTTTCGAACACATAAATATACAAAAGTTATAAATTCCGACCAGGAGTATAACGTTATAACCATTGGAGTTGAACTTTTACTCCGTAAGTTCTAACAGCTATGTCACTCCATGGAAACTCCTGCTTCACCTTCTGCTCGCCTATTCCCTCCAAAACCCTCTCACACGCCTCTTATATTTCTCCTCCAAATTCTAGAACATTTCTAGCTAACCGGAACCCATCTATTCAATCCTCATTGAATAATAATCCTCTGCCTTCCCTTTCAATTGATCAGAATGCTCCACCTCAATCTAAGCCGTTGGTTTCTGCATCAGACGTTGTTAGAAACTTCTATGGCGCCATCAACCGTCATGATCTTGGGGAGCTTTATAAGTGTGCCCTAAAAAAAGGTTTCTCTTATAAAAATGTCCAAAAAAGGTTTGATATTATGAGACTACCCTCTATCTACCCTCACTGAAAAGCACGAAAAATTAGCATGTGAGATTCCCAAATTACCCCTATTCTTCGAAAGCTATTGTCGAAAGAATCTAATTACGTTCCACAGCCGTTTAACGATTTCCCCCCTTTTTTGACCCGCCCCGAAATTAACTATTTCAGTTTTCCCCCTTTTTTGACCCGACCCGAAATTAACTATTTCATGCTTTTCAGCTCCTCAATTGTACGCACACTACACATTTGTTCTGCAAATCGGCAACCTAATTTGAAAGCAAAGCAAAACGATAAGATTTTGGAACGTGTTTAAAAGCTATTGCGTAGCGCAGAAGGAGGAAAAAGAGCAGAAAGAGATTACGGTAAACCCTAATTTTCGATACCCCAAAATTTGATTACAAACCCTAATTTTTCTTTACACTAAAGAGTTATGATTTTTTTGTTTAGCTCTACTAAACATCCTTTCTTCTTCGCTATTGCGTAGCGCAGAAGGAGGAAAAAGAGCAGAAAGAGATTACGGTAAACCCTAATTTTCGATACCCCAAAATTTGATTACAAACCCTAATTTTTCTTTACACTAAAGAGTTATGATT